GCCCCAAATCCCTAACAACCTCATTCAACAGTTAGCTATATGACAATGTTACATGTCAAGTGATCCACAACGAAAAAATCAGCAAAGCATTTGAAGTAGATACAGGAGTACGATGACGGGTTCTCACTATCAACGATGCTATTCATAAAAATGTAGTGGTCTGGATTATGCGGTACACTGTGCGTGGAGAGTGAGAGGACAGATGGATAATTTAAAGGTCGGTCGGTCGGTTTTCGACAAAGAACTTTGCACATATGTCCGGCAGTTCAAGTCGCCACACTCCCTCCACTTAGCACACAAACCAAGAGAAGAAAGTAGGAGAAATGCATAATATAGACAGTAAACAGAGGTGTGAGACAAATGAATAGTAATAACGAAGAACGAAACAGTTTAATTGGAAATCATAAGTCACTAGGAGTGGATGCATCAGCACCAGCCATCACTGAGAACGATTTTGAGCTATGTCACCAATTGTTTCCAACCATCGGTTTTTACCGTCCCGAGGACCCAAACCAGTCAGGAAGTCTACACCTCCCAACGTAGCTGGCTTAAACTAACTGTTGTGGATTTCATTGACTGGTGAAGCCATACTTTTGTTTGACCGCCGCTAGCTCTTTTCCAGCCTGACCCTATATCACCTAATATTGCCCGTCGAGGAAGGCGATGACTAGGCATACGTAACACATGTCTTAATCATCTCAGTCGATGTAATTTCACAGTCTCGTCGACTGATTTCCCCTTCTTACCTAGCACTCGACGCCTAACCTCAGTATTGCTCACCTTATTATACCACTTCACACGGGAGAAAAAACGCAGACACTTATGATCAAAGATAGCTAATCTTTTCATGTCTTCCGCTCTCAACGGCCAGGTCTCACAGCCATAAAGGAGGACAGAGCGGACTGCTGAGCAGTACACACGCCCTTTGGTCGATAATTTACAGGGGAAAACCAACAAACTGTCAGTAGGAGCCGGTGGCAAAGACAGGACGTCAAGTGAATATAGAGAAGACAGAGAGGTGATGAAAATAACCGACCAGCAAGCACCAATCACCAATCAGATCAGCGGAGGAAGCTATCTGAAAGAGGTCACTTCCCTTACTTATCTAGACAACATCGTGTCAACACTACAGGCGGACGACACGGATAAAGATGTCAAAACCAGAGTCGGAAAGGCAAGGCAAGACCTTTATCACTCTGAAATCAGTTTGAAAACCATCTGAACTCAGCAATTAAGGACAAAATTTGAACTTTCAGCACCAGTATTATGTCGGTCACTACTTCTATGAGGGTCAGAAACTTGCACTACAATTCAAGAAAAGCATTTCCAACAGACTTTTATCAACAGCTGCCCACTTCGCTGGCTCCATATATTGAAGATCAAATGGAAGAACAGTCAGAAAGAATTAAGAATAAGAAACTCTGCCAATGAACCAACCAAAAGCCGATTGCTCAACAAATATGTAGGAGGAAATGAAGATGGATCGTCGACATCGCGCGCAATGCAGGCCATCGCTCGAGTGGAATCCAAGCGAAGCGTCCGAATTTGACATGAAGGGGATGAGAGACTTTGGGTAATCGTGGAGCCAGCTGGAGAGGACCGCAGAGAGTAGAACAAAGTGGAGATGTGTTATGCAAGCCATGTGTTCCACTCGGAACCCGAGGGAAAAAGTAATCCTAATAAGCATATGATAACAGCGGTATCCTGTCAATTACCAAAAAAATAAGCAAAAGTTCATTAACAGCTGATTTTCCTTCTTCTTCCCAATATTACCATTTAGTTTAGCTAGCCGATTAACAGACTACGATCTAAATATTAGATATACCACATAGGGGGGACAGAGTGGAAAGACAAAAGACAATTCTACGACACACTGGCAATTGAAGCAGAACAGGCCGCAGACAACAGAGATAACCAGGTCTCTATCCGGGGAAGAGATTAACCCAGATGATGAAAAACAGTAAAAGATGCTCAAGGGAACCTGATTACCAAGGAGGAGAGACAAATAAAACAATGGGCTGAGCAATTTAAAGGACTCTTGAATTGATCATCACCTGCAACTCGTCTAGAAATAAACCACCATCGGCAGCACGGATGCAACTGTCTGCCAGTGGACACCAGTCGGCCAATGAAAGCAGAAATCCTCAATGCGATCAACCTACTGAAGCCCGGAAAGGCAGCAGGACCGGACGGAATTCCCCCCGAAGCACTGAAAATGGACCAGAGACCACCGCAGATGTTTTCACGTCATTATTGCAAAAGGTTTGGAAAGAAGGAAACGTACCTACCGATTGGAAGAAAGGCTACCTCGTCAAGTTGCAAGAACTGGCGCGAATCATGCTCTTGTCCACGCCAAGTAGAATATTAAGTCGCATCATCCTGGAGAGAATAAAAGATCCACCCGCCAGAACAAGCTGGATTCAGGAAAGGCAAATCATGTGCTGATCAAATTGCAACTCTACACATCATCATCATCATCATCGAACAAAGCATAGAATGGCAGTCAAACCTCTACCTCAACTTCATCGACTTCGAAAAGGCCTTCGACAGACAGCATTGACCGAGAAGTAGTTTGGAAACTACTTTAACACTACGGCGTACCTCAAGTCTTTGTCAACCTCATTCAACAGCTATATGACAATGCCACGTGTCAAGTGATCCAAAACGGGAAACTCAGTGAGGCGTTCGAAGTGAAGACAGGAGTAAGACAAGGTGACCTATTATCACTGATGATATTCTCAATTGTGGTGGACTGGATTGTGCGTCAGATTGCGGGAAGCGAGGAGACAGGAATACGCTGGATCACCGATAAGACTCTAGAAAAATCTGTCACAGGCAGGCAGACGAAAACCAACAAACTCGCAGGAGTGGTTAGCAATGAAGACAGGACTACAGGTGAACATAGAGAAGACAGAGGTGATGAAGATAACTAACGAACCGCAACAACAACCAGCACCAATCACCATCAACGGGAGAGATTTAACAAAGGTTGCCTCCTTCACTTATCAGGTTAGCAAGCATCGTTTTAACTACAGGCCAGCGGAACGGACGAAGATGTCAAAGTCAGAATCGGAAAGGCAAGATACGTCTTCATCAACCTGAAACCAGTTTGTAAATCTTCTGCACTCAGCATAAGGAACAAGATACGGATTTTCAACACCAATGTCAAGTGAGTCAGTTCTTCTATACGGGTTAGAAACTTGCACTGTGTGTCATGAAAAGGATTTCCAACAGGTTGCAGACTTTCATCAACAATTGCTTTCGCTGGCTCCAAACTGAAGATCAAATGGCAGACCAGAAAGAATTAGCAACAAGGAAATCTAGAATCAAACCAACTAAGAGCCAGTCGCTCAACAAATATATAGAAGAAAATGTAAATGAATCGGGCATACGTTAAAGAGGCCGTCGAATGACATCACGCGCCAGACCATTGCTTGAGTGGAATCCAAACTGGCAATGACGAGTGGTCCCTCGGTGCAAGGGTGACGTGGAGGAGATAGTGTGTTAGCGAGGAAGAGATGGGAGATTATGGGCAGTCGTAGACGCAGGCGGAGAGGACGGCAGAAAACAGTATTAAGTGGATATGTGTTGTTGAAGCCCTATGTTCCACTCGGAACCCAAGGGAACAATAATCAAAGGCATACTTCTTGCATTTCTTAAATTCACTTAAATGCTATATGGAAACCTTCTCAGTATATTTCTCCTAGCTATATTATATTTCTGAAATTTAAACTTTCTTAATCAACCTTTCTGAAAACTATGCACACACGACAAACTTTCACAGTAAGCGGATAATCTAACAAAACAAAAAACCATAGCAGTTCATAGAGATTTGATTAACGTCGAGGTGTAGGATTCATAAAAAAAAACCTGTATCACTTTCAGATATGTTATGAAACACGACAATACAGATGACCAAGGCGCCTTATTTAGCCTCCAAAAGCCTCACGATGGTCGGGGGTGGGTGCCCTGCGCTGCGGGTTGGCCACCCCTCCTCACACCTCTTGAAATGCTCCCATATGACCGGGCGTCTTACATAGCCTCTCCTGAGGAAGTCCTACTCACTGCCTTCACGTGGCGGAGGTGTTTCTCACCAAAGTGAGAGGGCGAAAGCGGATGCCCGGCGCTCTTCACCGGGTTGACTGTCCATTGGATAACAGTCTAGGGGAGATGGCTAAACCCTGATTCCAAACCTCCAACGACTGGCGTATGAAGCTCACTGGAGCTCACCGGCAGACGTATGGTCAAAGGGCTTGTTGGATGTCTGGCCCCATCCAAAAAGGCGTATGAACCGAACTCCGGTCACCGGCTGCCAATGGATAGTGGACTCCCTACTCCACTCCTACTGCCTTGTAGGTCACACTTGGTTGTGTAAAGGCTAGGGCTGCACTGTCAAACAAAAGGCCGAGCGATTCTGGGGACATCACTCGTACCGAATTCCCATGAAACTTCATGAACTCTCTTACAAACGACTCTCACCATGCTACGGCGTTCCCGGTAAGCGACGCGATAACCCTGTCGCAAAACCTTGCATCAGATCGCCGCGCCTGGGCAGCGATGATTCGAGATGTTCATGAAGCCGGCTCATCCTCCCGTAGGAGATAGCCGAAGTAAAGTAAGTATTTAGCTTTCAACTGATGTCGGTTTATGACGAAATCTACATCAACTTTCATGTAATTCTATAGTTCTCCATATCATCAAATAAAGTGTTAATTAGAACATACAACGAAATCCAATATGACTGTTATATTACATGCAAGACAAATTAAACTGTGACAGTATCATCAGTGTGAAAAACACACTAAAGAAAACACCCGATATATATAAAGTAAATTTAACCGGTAACCTTAATGACGCAGAATCTTCCACGATTATGATCCACAGTCTAAGCGGACACAATTCGACATCAGGATGATTGGAGAATGTAAAACAAAGAAAGTGAGGATAAATCCACATTAAAAAATATAGATTCATCAGCTTAAATGAAACGATGAATGGCTAGCATCATATCATGCTATTGTTGTACAGGTTCAAATAAAAGCAATTCAATAGTAATACTGTACTGTATTATTAAAATGCTTCACTTTAACAAGATCAAAAACCTTCAAGTGAACACAGAAAATAAGAAGGAAACATGTACAGAATCTGTCCACAGTCAAGCGCAAGACCAAAATCAAACAAAATTGGAAAAGATGACAAAATCAATGCTAATGCAATGCAAAAAATTAAGTTTGATATTTTCCAGTGTGTATATCTCTGCCTCTAGCATAGTTTTTCTGGTCACAAACCGGTTGAAAGTATATTGTCTCGTCTAGTTCTAAACGTTCTTTAATTCGCTTTCCAATTTGCATTATAGTCCGCTCTTCGTTATCACTAGACAGCCAAACTGCCATCTTATGACCTCGAGCACGAGGTTGAAATACTGCCCCGCATATTAGCTCTTCTTCTTCATCTGTATCCCAATCAGAACCGATAAGTAGCATCAATAACTCGTCCCACAAACTAAAAACAACAAAAGCTCAGAATGATTATCTTTACAAAGAACAAGTAACTGATATTCCACTGTATTTTGCTAGCTAAAGAAATTTACTGATTTATTACAAACAAGATGTATAAAGTTCATCAATAAATAGGCATGACTTAGTATTATTCTAAATTTACGACCTATTAAGAAAAAAACATTAATGAGCAACAAAATAATCTTTTCGATAGCTTCCAATTCATATTCTACAGACCATATATCAACACTAATTATGTAGCGACTATATAAATGTCTCCCTTGTGACTAATTTGAATAATAATCAATTTCTTTTTGGGATTAAGTGTTTGAATTTAAGCGTTTCTGAATATTAGTTTAAAGTATTTATGCTTGACATAGAAATGAACTGTCGTAGTAAAATGTTTCTAAGGCCTTATTCCAAATCAACGGGAACTACGAGAGAACGAATGACTTTTGTTGAAATTCACAATTAAATCTAGTCAGATTAATAGAATTTATGTGAATAAATCTGAGCAGAAGTAGAATGACCTATGCAGAATTAAGATGAATGATAACCTCTACTACTATCTTTGCTTACTTCGGAATGATGCAATGCTCATGATATTTAATATCGAACTTAGATAGCAACTAGGTCCATGTTAGCACTCAGTTATCTAGCACAGATTTTCTGTGTGCCAAGACGAACCACATAAAATGTGAAGATTGATGACACTATTTAGTTGCCAAGCCTGAAGTAGGCAGAACAGGAATCGAATTCAAGGTTCACTGGCTAAAAGTTAAGTGCTTACGCTAATGAGTCCCTGTCTGCACGAAATAAATTAATAATTGTTTCTGTGGCTGATTTCCCCACCTAGGTAAGGAGGGGAAATCAATCGACAGGTGGTTGTGAAGTTACACCGATTGAGATGGTTAGGACATGTTACCCATGTATGTCTAGCCACCGATCACCTTCCTCGACTATGGACAGTGTTAGCTGACATAGGATGGATCAGGTTGGTAAAGAGCTAGCTAGTGATGGTCAAACCAAACATAGCATCAGTCAGTGAAATTCACAACATAGCCGGCCACGTCAGGAAGTGTAGACTATCTGGTTGGGATCCTCAGGATGGTAAACACCAATGAAGGCTGGAGACAGTTGATGATATGGCTCAAAATCGTTCCCAGTGATGGCGCAGATGCAGTCACTCTTCGTGATTTATAATATCCAATAAAATTCTACTACTCTTCCATATTACTATTCTTTTTGCCTCTCACTTCTGTTTTTTATTTCTCCTTATTCTCTTCTGTTACTTTGTAAGCTACATGGTGTGAAAACTCGAATTACTGCACATCTGTGCAAAGTTCTATGTTGAAACTAGTCAGTCAGTATCTGGTGAAGTGATTCTTAACGAAAGGACTTGTCGACAGATGCTTTGAAATGCAGTGTGAAACTAATAAAGACCACTGAGGTAAAACAAAATGCTGACCAAGGAGCAAATTAATGAACCAACGTAGGTGTCATGAATGTCGCTTGGAAATATCTGTAGATCCGCAAGTTAAACTTAACTTTTACCCTGAAAAGAATCAGGACGCCAATCTGAATTACAACAAGTCATAAGCTCAAGAACTAGAGACCACTGTACTTTCACCAGTGTGAGACTTTTTTCTGCAAGTTCCAGTCTTCAGCTAACTAAATACCGATAAGTAAGTAATATGACATCCAAACTTGTGTTGATGAGTCTTATAACACCTAAAAATGAGAAATAACCTACTCACTTGCACTTCATCTCTCGGCCAGCTAAATTACGAAGTCATGAACGTAAAGAATGAGCATTCCTACAGAGAAAGATACTACTAAATCGGGATGCCAAAGTGTATGAATACCAGCTGCAAACACAATACTTATTTGCCGCGTCTACAGATACAGTACACAGTAATTCCAAACTATATATGCAAGAACTTAGTTTCGAGCCTCAGCAACTTAGAAAACTTTATATAATCGATATGCAGACTAATACACACATACTCTTTAGTAATTTTCAAGAATGCATTTAAACATATGTATACCGATAACATCTAGTATTAATGAGAATAGACATTAATACGTACAAATATGCCATCTACAAATAAGAAAGCCTAACAGTTAGTGGCAGATGACACGGCATTGTTGGGGCGAGGTTACTTCATGCAAAGAAAGTATCACAACCAAATAAACAAGCTTTTCAACTCAAAGAACTTGTGTTCTGACTGTTTATCTCACACACCCTGTAGGATAACCACAAGAGCTCAACTTTCAAGCCACACGTGCAGCCTCAAAATTTATGCGTGCTTAATGGTCGAGTATTCACAAGTTATTAAATATTTCTATGCTCATACAATATAAGTGACCTAAAGTGCCATCTTATATACATCGTGAGAAGTGACAAATGAGAGGCAGTAAAACGAAATACATCAGAAAATAGATGACTTACAAATCAACATTATGTTGCTGAGAAATATTGATCAACCAACGTCCGCCTTTCTCATTCTTCGGGTCTTCCCATTTTGGCTGGATATCACACTTGAACATGTACAGATCGTTGCCATTAACCATTTTAGAAGGCCTGACTGTATGAGACAGTACACTCCAGAAATGCTCAATAGTGCTAAATGTGGCCACTTTTTCCGTACATTCTTCCCAAACTAAGGATTTATTGCATATAAACAAGTAATATGACCACCTAAGAAACAGATTAGCAAAAAAATATCACAATTACGTGTCTTGCAGTGGATTTAGCTGTATCTCCTCTTCTTTTTCCTTATCATCCTCTACCCTCTGACTGCTTTCCACTGCCGTCATCACCTAAACTACAGCCAAGCGTGTACTAGAGGCCACCTGACTTAACAACATAATCAATGTCCAATGTCCATTTTGCGAAACATGATGAGTCACTTGGAATCTTTGAGCTCATTTAAACGTCTAAATGCCACTAAAAATTTTTAAAATTTTACATTTTCAAGCCTTTCTGCTTCATGCCTGAGACTTGGTCATTTAAGTTCGGTCCTGCTAATTTCGTTAGCTCGATAATTTTCGAAAGACTATTAATTACTATTTGGGGACAAGATGAATGGGGAAAGTAAAAGGAGGCTGACAAAATCAAATATCTTCTTGTGTTGCTTGTCTGCGTTAGATGCTGGAGGAGATTGATGTCATAAGACAAGAGATGTTAACAGGTGAACAGCTCCAGAACAGGAGGAGAAGTAGAAAGCATCCGTGATTATGAGAATGGGTGTGGAGATAGAACTTGAAACAAATAAATATGAATGACAACAGCATAACAAAGGATGTCATTAGCAAGACAGAGAGTCTATAGTTATGGCTACTGGTGATTTCTGAGGTCGATGGTAAATATCTTAGGTACCAACTGTCTCTTTGCTCTTCATTCAACTTTATTTCAATGATTTTGCTACTGTTCATAAGATTCTAAGAGTACGAATTTCCACAAAGAAGCGCCTAGTCCTGAATATGGAGTTGAATTTTTATTGTGTAATGACTACTTCACCATGACTTTGATCTTATACACAAGGTTTCACGGTTTGCACAATTGCATAGACCAGTTTTCCTTCTACCCACAGTATGACTTTCTGTTGTCGTTCCTTAATAGAACATCACTAGATCTGAAGCTGTAGTTAAAAAGTCTAACAATTCAGGTACTTCAAGGTGGAACATGAACAAGCTGCAGAGGGTACTAATTTTTAAAACACGAAGGACTCCTTGGCCCTTTTGATGGACTAAAGCCTCTGTTTGTGACCAAAAGACGATCGAACAACTTGAACGAAATTCTTTTTTGAGTAAAACCCCTTCCGACCGACCTGTTAAATCATCAGGAGAAGACAAATTAGATACGACGGGAATATGCTTTATATTACCACCATATGAGATTTTTTTATTTTTTATTTTTATTTTGATTTACAGCTTGATTCCACACCGTATTTTCAGTACAAGTGTGGAATTTTCAGCATGGATATCGGTAGCCCAAATTCAGGCCGACCATAGATATCGGGTGTGCGCCGGCAGGGGATCGAACCTCGGACCATGTGCATGGTCGGCGAGAGTCCTAACCACTGTGCCACCGGCGCACACGACAATCGTCCTCAATCTGCTTGCTTTGTAGTCCAAATTGAATGGGCTTTGGAACACAATATTTGAGACGCTGTGCTTGTAGTAAGCCAAATAAATTCACGCTCATATCAGATCCAAGCACTTCACCTTCAACAACTGATTTGTCAGCCTCTACTATTGGGCTTGTAGGAAACACGACTGGTGTTTCAGGGAAGGTGTAGTAGTCGTTGTGTGGTTCAGTTCACGGAGTATTCGAGAATGATTATGTTAGGTGACCGTATGTCAACCTCTGAGGTTATTTCTAAGCAACTCCAAAATGAAGCTAAGTTTGGTAACCTTAACGGAATGTAGATAATTTGCTCCCTAAAGACTTGGTTGTTAAGGTTCACGTCCCATCTAGTCCCAAAAAATTATTAGATCGTCATGACTGAGCTTATCCGCACCTGAAGGTCATTTTCGTTCATGTTAGTCGGCCATATTGGATTGCAGTTCCCTGACTGTTCGTTTACGCATTGGTTTTTACGTTTATCATGCAGTTATTCACAACTTATCTTGATGCATAATGTTCACAAATGTTGTGTTTCACCTCATTTTTGTTTTCGTTGCTTTAAAATTAGTTATTTCTTTTGTTTCGAAAGTTTTTACCACAAGATCAGTTCATTCATTTCATTGTAATAGTTTCATACGTTGCTTTCATGCGTGGTTTCAGTGTTTTAGTTGTTTTTCAGCTATTTTAAAATAATACTGTGTAGAAGTTTTGGAAATTATGTACATAAGCGTGTTTGGGTGGCAGAAGCTTTTGTTCCCAGTTCATTTTGTGGTTGCCGCTATTGTTGCTGGCCCACTTGGTCACTCAATATGTAGGAATCTGGAAAAAATAATATAATTCAAATTCATGTTTACAGCATGAAATGACTTCTTGTTTCACCTGAGGAGACACAAGGTGAAAGCTGCAGGTGAAGTGAATGCTCATGGTCTGTTAAAATCAAGTACCCATCGTCAATGACGACTGCAGCCATGTGACCCAAAGGGAGACCACTCGCTCAACTTACAGTCTTCGGAGTTCTACGAGGTATGACGCAGTCTTTTTTAATCAGTCCAGGGAAGAATAAGGGTGAACAGATTAGAAGAATAGGTAAGATGCACCAGTTGACAAACTGTAAGACGAGAGGTTGAGTTATGCCCGAGTGCCTTAACTTCTTAATGTGAAAAGTCAGACGAAATATTCTTTTAGAAATTGCTAAGACATGGGAAGACCAGAATAAGTCTAAAGAAAGAATGAATCCAAGATACTTAACTTCAAACTTGATCTCCATATCACTATCGTCAATTTTTCAACGGTCATAGGAACCACCAGCTTCATTTAACTTTCTTTTACATCTAGAACTGAAACATTTGGAAGGATTTGGTTTAAAACCATTTGCTGACTTCTGATAGAAAGCTGTTCATCTTAGTACAGTCTAGCTGAGAGTTAAGAGGCATTGAAACAGTTAGGTCATCCGCACACATAACAAAGTAGATATGCAAATACTGCAGTTGTTGATCATATAAATGAGGGATATTAGATGACATCACATGATCCAACAGCATATTAGAAATAAATAAAAATTGCTTCTTAGCTCATCGCCAAGGAAAAGGTCTATTCGATGACGTCACTGCATATTAACAGATTAATGAAGTAGCTAACAACCCTACGTTACTACACTTGCTTGTACTACATACTTGGCGTTTAGCAGTAAACAGGCTTGCAACTGGCTAAATAAGGCGACTTTAGCGTATCGAACAGTACAGTATTATTATTCAATTTGCTAAATCCTACTTAGCTTTTACAATGTGCTATTGTATGGAAACAGACGCGAAATCTTATGAATGACTAAAGTAAGTCTCACAATGCTACAGTGAATCTCTATCTTAATAACTAAGCTTAACATTCATTAATCCGAATTCACATATTACAAAAGCACATAGTATAGCGACACAGTGAAGAAGTCCAGATGAAGTAGAAATTAAGAGTATAATAAACATTTCATTAATTTACAAAAGAAAATTCTGATGAAGGGTATTAGCGTTAGTTTGACCGATTGACATTTTCGCCGATTTCATATTCGACAACCTCCATATGCCTAAAAAATAAAGCACAACATGAAGTTATGAGAGATAACTTTATATGCTAGTATACAATATGAATACACTGATTCCATGAAAACTAATCGAAATTCCCATGTAAATAAAAGTATTTGTAGTCCGTAGCTGGTTTTTATATTGACGCCGTACGCATAAATAGACTTCATATGCTTTGCAGTATTAAAGGATTATGCGCGAATTTCAGGAAAATCTCTGTAACATCCATACTATTGAAGTGTCATTCTCCCATCAAGATTACCTGCAGATCAAATTCACACTGAATGCGTTCACATTAAAGGAAGTATTGCAAATGTATAACTTATAAATTAATCCATAATCTCAGTAATATCTAAGGAACATAGTTTTGTGAACCCTATATGTATTTGTTTATTCCTGTTTATGCAGGAACATACCAATTGAACAGGCATGGATAAGTTATTATATAAATTACACATGTTTCGATGTATGCTGAATTTACAGTTTGTTTGTTCAATCTAACATTAGAGTCAGTCAGAACAGTCTGCAAAATAGTCTGTCTGTGTAACACATATAGAGATATAGAAATATTGTCTTCGCATTAACGAAAAACCCAGACTTCAGATGAATGTAATACAAATACCTGGGAAACATAAAGCTTGAAGTCAATTCTCCTATATAACTTTGTTGTGAACAGCATCCTTGAGATAAAGTTTATTGATGTATTATTTTGAGTCAATGATGTATTTATTCCATTTTTTCACCAGTCTAATCGTAGTTTTATAATAGGAAAGAAATTTGATCTTTGATACGAAAATTAGATAAGGTCACGTTAGATTGTTTTACTACATCAAATGGGGCCGAGGTCGATTATAGAACTATCCATTTGCGCCATTTGCGTCAGCAGAGTGAGGCTATGTTCTATGATAAGGTGTTTTCGCGCATTGCATGGGTTATCGCGTTCACGCCTATAGAGACGTTCTAACCGCTCAGTATTGTGAAAATAGATTCTATTTGACTAGTTTTAGGCTTCTGTAGCCGAAAAATGCAATATTTTTGTGTATTGTGTTCGTAGTAATGCGTAAAATTGTCATGACAGCCTAGACGAATTACTAATAAAAAAGTCATCATTTTGAAGAAATATCGCATAAAAAGTCCATTATTAGGGTTTTAGAGCATTTAGGCATTGTTTTTTTGTGAGTTGTTTCAGATCTTAAGGTTGTAAATTGACTGCAGGCAATGGCTGTTGTCATCCAAGTTATTCTATGAGAATCGTGCATTTGAAAGAGAAATAGCCTAGAGACATAAGTTTGATGTGTGTTTTGAGGATGTCAGACACTTCTTTTATCATCTGTGATGACTGAAATATTCCATAGCACATGGAAGAGATCATGCAATGAATGAGACAGGCTGCTGCATTTCCTGGTGATTATATCTACTTTGATGAAGTTCCCATTTAAAATTGCTTAGGCGAAGACATGATACTAGTTTAATTGACATTTGCACTTGGAATGTCAGAAGGCTTTAATTGTTCATTGTCAAAAATGGCATCAGATTATGTGTATATCAGTGTGCATGGGGTTACGAAGAATACTGCAGATGGTCCTCCTAAAATGTCAGACTACTTAAAATTAGTATCAATTTTCTGTCGATTAGTAGCTAGCAGGTGTGTCCTACAACTACTGCACCTGT